CTGAGCTCGAGTGAGTTTGTTCCTTTTCAGCTAGTTAATAGGAAATTTTTCTTTAATTTAAATTTGTAACACTTTTTCTTCAATTAGAAATTTCAAAACTTGTTAGTATGGGTTAATTCAAACTCTTTTTGTCCAGTCAGATTCCTTTTTTTTACCTTTAAGCCGCGCCGTCAAGTTAAAATTGTATCAAATGATTTGCAGACTTCAAAACAACATAGAAGACGATTATGTTCTTTTTTAAGACTAATTATTGTGATAAGCTTATTAAGTAGATCTGATAAATTTGATGTTTGTGTTTTTTGTCGAGAGTCATGTGAGGGATGTTTGAGTGCTCAAGAGAGTACCTAGGGACCCGCGTGTTCGCTTGGCAGAAAAATTTTTAGATAAAATGATTGATATTTTCTACACTAAGGAAAGTTTTAGTTATTGCCTGGTTTTATTGACGCCTTTTTTCTTGAACAATCCAAAGGATGTTGCCTGGACTTTAGTGGACTGAACCAACGCTGGTTAACAAATTGTGGGATTTTTATAAATCAACACAGGCAGTTAAACTAAATTTAATCTTTTACATCGAACTAAAAAAAAATCAAAAGCAAAGATCAATGTCACCCGAGCTCAACAGGTCCAGCATCATGCCACAGCCAGTTTCAGTTTCCTCACTCCACCCCAGAAACTTGTTAATTAAAGGAAGGCCTTGTAACTTAAACTTGTAAAATAAACAAAGATTTCAACCTTTTAAAATATTTTAATTATTTACAGAATGGTCAAATATCACAAAAAGTGTCGAGGAAAAAATGGATATTCGAATGTTGTAGAACTCTGTCAATCGTCAGTTTTAAAAAAATTGTATCATGATTTGCAGACTTCAAAACAACATAGAAGACGATTAAGTTCTTCTTTTAGCCGAATTATTGTGATAATCTTTTTAAATAGATGTGATAAATTTGATGCTTGTGTCTTTTTGTCGAGAGTCATATGAGAGGTTTTAAAGACAGATCTGTCAAGTAGTTCTTTAGTCAGGGGGAAGGAACTCCTGACCCGGGGAGTCTGGTGATGCGCCGCTTGAACTTCTGAGTTCAGATGAGTTAGTTGCATTTCAACGAGTTAATTTAACTTTTTCTTTAAATTAAAACTATAACATTTGACTTTCACCTGGAAAACTCCAGCCGTGTTACTATTGGTTATTTCAGTCCCTTTTTGTCCAGTCAAATTCCTTTTTTTACCCTTAAGCCGTGCCGTCAAGTTGAGGGAAAAAAATGAGAGAGTACGAGCAAAAATTTTAAAAAGCTTCAGAGCTCTTAAGTTGAATTATCTATGATTGTTGTTCTAATTGGTATCATATCGAATGTGTAACTATAATTCTGAGCGACTCTTAGTAGAAACGTTGGTTTCAATGTCCTATGTGTGTTTATGTGAAATCTGTCAATAATGCTTCAACTGGTTTTGACTGATTGCTTGATGATTATGTAAAAATAGCCATTTCTAATATTTGAGTGCGCAAGAGAGTAGCTAGGGACTCGCGTGTTTGCTTGGCGGAAAGTCTTTTGGATAAAATTATTGATACTTTTTACACCATAGAAAAGTTAATTATTGGCTGGTTTCATTGACACTTCTCTTTTTTTTCTTGAACAATGCAAAGGATTTCGCCTGCACTTTAGTGAACTGAACCAATCGTAGTTAACGGTTTGTGGGAACTTTATAAATCAACAATGACAGTCAAATTAAAATAAAACTTTTACAACGAACTAAAAAAATCAAAAACAAGGATCAATCTCACCCGAGCTCAACAGGTCCAGAGGCGTGCCATCAGACTCATGCCAGTTTTAGTTTCCTTCCTTCACCCCCAGAAAGCCACTTGACAGACCTGTCTCTAAAATTTCTCAAAAAGCGCTTGACACACGAGCACAAACATCAAAGGTAAGATATCCATTTATCAGTTTATCACAACAGTTAGGCTAATTACGCTGAACTTCTACTTTAAACTTGTGGCTTTTACCTTAAGCTTGTAAATTAAAAGAACGTTTCTGCACGTTTTTAGTGCTTTTACAGGTTTAAAAATCTAATTACTATTTACAGAATGTTCCATTATCATGAAAAGTGACGAGGAAAAAATAGTAAAGAGGAAATTCGAACGTTTTTTGATTTATGTCAATCGTCAGTTTAATTTAATTGCATGAAATTTTTCACTGACTTCAAAACATCATAAAAAACGGTCAAGTTCTTCTTTTAGCCTAATTATTGTGATAAGCTATTAAAGAGATGTGATACGTTTAATGTTTGTGCCAGTTTGTCGAGAGCCTTTTTGAGGGGTTATAGAGACGGGTCTGTCAAGTAGTTCTTTAGGCTTGGGAAAAAGTTCCTGACCTGGGGAGTCTGGTGGTGCGCGGAGTTCCTGATTTGGGGAGTTTCTGACCTGGGAGTTCCTGACCTGAGAAGTCTGGTGGTGACCTTCTGAGCTCGGGTGAGTTTGTTCCTTTTCAGTGAGTTTTGTTTTATATAGTTTTCTTTAAGTTAAATTTGTAACATATTTTACTACATCTAGAAAAATCCACCCATGTTGTTATGGGTTAGTTTAGTCACTTTTTGTCCAGTCAGTTTCCTTTTTCTACCCTTACGCCAGCTCTTCAAGATGAGCAAAAATAACAAGGAGTGTACAAGCGAAGATTGTTTAAAACCTTCAGTGATTTGAAATTGGATTAGATGTGATTGTTGTTCTAATTAGTATCTAATCAAATGACTGAAAAGACCTCTAGGCGACTCTATGAAGATCCGAGATCACTTTTCTTTAAAATGATTGATATTTTCTACAATATGGAAAGATCGACTGATTGGCTGGTTTTCCTGACAACTTTCGTGTTTTTTTTTCACTTGAACAATCCAAAAGAAGTGGCCGTAAACAAACGACAGCTATGAGCTCTATAATAAATAAAAAAGTAAGTGCCAATTTTGTTTCTTATTTTAAACACCTTGCCCAAGGATCACACAGCTGAGAACAAAGCTAATCAGTAGCATGGTTTGGTGAGGGAAATATAAAAGAATTAATAGAATTGGCCGCATCAGATGACAAGATCTGATTTTTTCTACTCCTAGTATATGAAAGCCTCAAACCCGGAAAACGTCGATATTTTTTTTTCATAACTGAGTTGAAGGTGTACAAAACAATTATGTCTTTTCCAAATGGTTCGCGAGCCAGTCCGGACAAGGTTGTTCCCCAAGTTTTTAAAGATTTGATTAGTAACTCAAACAGAATTGCTGGGTTCAATTTTTTGAAATCGCTCGCTTACTAAACCTTATACCCGAACAGAAAGAAAAATTGGTTGCGGAGTCCACTGACAAACAGTGGAATCCATTGACAAAAACGTTAAATTGAACGCGGAATCCACTAACAGATGGTGGAATTCACCAAAACTTAATGGAATCCACTTCACCGTTCAAAACAGACAAGTCTGCGGAATCCACTGACAAAAAAAAACAACTTGTCGGCATTTTGTATAGGAGTCATTTGATTGTGGAATTCACTGAAAAAAGTCAATAAAACATGCGAAAGAAGTGTCCGTAGAATCCAGACGCGTGAAAATACAAATATCTGCTTAGTTCTGAAACCAATCTTGGCATATTTATGTAGAAAGCCCTCTGTTGTCTTCACTGTTCGTTCTATAAAAAAAAGATTTTTAAAAAGAAATGATCCATGATTTCTCGGAAGTTTTTGTAATTTCAACAAAAAAATCTTTCAAGAAGCGGTTATTGTTCTTAAGGTGGTTGAGCATAAATGTCACCAAAACGCCATTCTTGCATAACTTTGCTTTTTGGCCAACTCGTTTATCTTGAATAAAATATTCAGTTTTTTACGGTTGCTAATCCTCCTTGTACTTGGTGTATACTAGATCCAAAGTGTGTAGAAAAATTAAAGGGTCAGTCGGCTAAGCATATGATTTCACACAGGGGTGGATTTAGGATTTTCTCGAGGGGGGGGTTGGATTTTCAAAAAATTTTCAAAAATTTTGTCGACCTTTTATTTAAGTCGACCAAATTGATTTTTCGAGCTCTCCCAAAGCACTGTTTTGTCCCTACTTTGGCCAAATTGTCTGCACCGCAGGCAAAATTTTGAAAAAAAAATAGGTCAAAAAAGGCGTTTTTAGGCACTTTTTGGAAATTTTTGACCGAAAAACTGCGTTTTTTCGGCGCGCGCTCCCCCCTCAAAATTAGTATATATTGGCGCCGAAGGTGCCTTTAGAAAAATTTTAAGGTTGGTCGGCCAAAACTGGGTTGCTTAAAAGTACCAAAGGGGACCCTTTGGGTCGGCTGAGGATCGAAAAGAATAAGATATTTTACCCAAAAAAAATCTCGAATTAAATGAAAATATCGGAAAATATCTAAGCCATGGTTTTTTATTTTCAATCGTAACTCTTTATAAGCTAGAAATATTTTGAATTTTTTACTACAAATAATTCGAAACTTTGTCTCACTATCTATAATACGAGGTCGAAGCGCACCGTTCGGCTTTTAATCGCTTATTTTTTGCTTTTTGCTCCATGCCTTGCTACGGCGACTATTATGAGCACTATCTTGCAAGTTCAGTCAATTATTTGATTCACCCGATATGTCTCGATACGCAACGCAGATCGACACAATTGCAGGAGGAATTTTTAAGAATAAGTAAAAAAATATGGAATATTTGAAATTTTTCTAAATGACATAATCAGCTTTAAAAACGACCTATATTAATAATTCGTCTTGTTAATTGTTACAACAGGTATTATAGACATAATAACATATTTAACTCGGGCTGACCTAAGGCGATTATAGGTTCGGATTTAATAGCCCAATTAAAGATTTCCTTTGCCTGGGAAGGAGGCGGGCATGTAAAGGAATTAAACACGCACTCTTTCAGCGTCTATAATGAAAACAGGAATGGAAATATGGAAAGGAAAAGGACTGATTCCTGATTTTTGATTGGCCCCTTAAATACGGAACTTATAACTGCAAAATATATTTTCTTATGGCAATTTATGCTATTCTGAATCCAATGTTTTGTCAGACAATAAATAGACAACTTGCTTGTTTGTGTTCAATATTTTTTTATCGCATATTGCATTTCCTCGTTTGCAATATTTATCCAAAAATGACCTAATTTTTTTTTGCTATATTTGAATTTTATTCTTTTCTCTGAGCATAGATTGCTTTGTCGCATTTTTCGATTCCCAGATTCAGAGACCTCCAACAACCTTGTCATTATTGCATATAAACTCTCTGGCTTACGCAGAAGAAACTACATGCTTTGATAAGGGCCTTTATAAATCGCATTAATTGATGAACAGATCTAAAGAAGCCTTAGCGTGCTTGAGTTTCAGCTGATCTAGGAAGATTCATGTTCTCGGACTCGGATATAGATAGATAGATCTAGATAACAGAGGCATTCTCAAGTTAAGTCCAAACCCAACACCAAACATTTCTCTTGAGGAGGCCGTTTGTACACAGTCCGTCTCAGTAAACATTTCTTGAGAGCTATTATTATGATTTCATATTTATGATCTCTTCTTGCACCTTTAATTTGAGTTGAGAACAAAACAGTCAAGTAATTCTACGTTCTTTTATTACACACGTCTTAATCATAAAAACAAAAGTTAAACGCCATTTTGATACATTCTGTCAATCAGAACAAACACTGGAACGGCTCATAAAATTCAAAAACGAGATTGACTGGGCGACTGCAAAAAATCCAGATCCAAGTTGATAGACAATTCATTTATCGACTCATAGACTAGCAGCTGATCCAAGGAAGTGCGCTCATCTGTCGCAAGCTGGACGAGAGAAACCAGAAAATCGCCCAATACCTACGAATAAGAGGTGTCGCTGAATTGCATCAGCTCATCCACAACTGCTCAACTTGGACCCTTGACATCCTGAAAGTTAGTATATCGAACTAAGCCGAAGCAAATGACAAATTAATTTAAAAGTTCCATAAAATGATTTTTTACAGCCTTTTAAGGTACAAGTGTGATAGAGGGGTCCCACGAAACTGTCCTACATGTCATTCAGTGTGTCTCAAAGTTTTTCTTTTGGCTGCTTCGGTGATTGTCAGTCTTGCTTTTTACAGGGACCCCTCCATCACACTTATCATCAGAGCTCATAAGAAATTAGAAATAGCAAAAAAATTGTTTCAAAAACCTCATTTTGGGGAAACTCATGTGAGTGACAGGGTCAAGTTTATCAATGGATTTTAATTCTTGAACCGCCGAGATGCTGAAGCTTGAAAATTTTGGAACTTGTCTCTCCCGAAATCTAGTTTCATTTATGGTTATTAAGATGAGACGTGACTAAACATACATTAAAGTTGAGTCCTGAAGAGTGAAATCAAATGATAAGTCTATATTATGCTTCACATTTGTTGACGAAGGCCGAACAATTAACATGATAATAAACGTATATATAGTTTAGTTTTGAGCCCCAGACAGAATATGTTGATCATGTTCATCATCAGTTTCAAGACAAGGCTGAGCAGACGTTGTTTTCCCTTTAGTGTCTTTGTCTAGTCCACTGACATCTTCTGTTTAATGTTCACAGTCTGTTGTGCAAGTATAATCAGTCTTCTGTTAAGTATGAGAGTCAAACTCAGAGTGAAGTTCTGTGAAATTAATTCACACTTCACATCCCGCCTGTGTCATATATATCTAAGTATGACTTATGAAATCAAAATAACCAAGATTTCTTCCTCAAAAAATTACTAATTCAACAGCACAGTCTAAGGCCTCGTTTATGTTCCACGATTAATCTCTTTTAAGTAATTTTACTTATTTTAGACGCGGTACAAGTATGATAGTGGGGTCTTAAAAATAGTGATGGGTCCCTCAAGTAAAATTTATGCGCCTTGAATTGGAAACAGTTTTGCCTTATCAGCCTATTAATGAGCTTTACAAAAAAAAATTGTGAGCCGTCTTTCCAACTTGCATTTTCTAGGGACCAATTTATCATACTTGTGCTCATTTAGCTGGTCTCAAAAACCATAATGTGGAAAGTTTAGTTTTGGTTATTTTTTGCTTACGTTTCCAAGTAATTCCTTACTTTTATGCCGATGCAAACTTTAGCTTCCAATTTTCTTTGATGTGGTTAGTTAATAAAATAATTATCAACAATTGGCATCAACAAATTCTATCGATATCTCCAAAAAGCAAGAGAACAAATGCAGAAACAGTTTTTGAAAAGTTTATGGCGAAGTGATTTTTCTTCAGGGACCCATCAACATTTTGGGTCCACCTATCATACTTGTACCCACATTTCTTTCTACGATCATTTTGTGGAGTTGTTGTTTCTTATACCTTTTGCTTCAGAGCAGAATGCGTGTGGCGAATTTTAATTTGACTTCATTATTCATCTTGAGACTAACTTTTAATAGGTTTTAAGGTCTTGTCGATTCTAAACTATTCTAAGGTTTTATCAAGTTCATTTTCAAAGGAATATTTACAGCTGTCGCAAAACATCAAAGCCATTTTTAAATATTTTTCCTTTTTTTGAGTTTGGTTTATGCTTCATCCATCATAACTCAAAGAGTAACTGCTAATATTATTTGGTTGATTCATTTGGTTGATCGAAAGAAATTTGTAGGATACTATTATTGCTGAAAGTTGGACAGAAGGTGAGATTGACGCAGTTAATCATTGTAATAAAGCGCTCAAGTAGAAAAAAGGTGTCGAGCCTCCAAATAAACTGCCCAAAAGCAGGTAGCATAGGGTGTTAGTCCTCTTACATTGCAAGCTATAATTTTCCACGGATTTTTTTTACATGAATATAAAAGCTAAAAATGTGTTGTTGAGATGATTTTGCATGTAACCATTTAAAAGATCTGTTGGAATCTTGCATCCTTTTTTGTAGAAGTTTTAAGCTTAACGATCTAGCACTATAACAGTGATTTCATCTGAAAATGGCTGTGCCATTTTCTCCAAAATGGTTAATGGTAGAGAGGTTTTTAATATTGTTTCAAAACTTTCATGCCTCCGTAAATTTTGTTAGAAAATTTAACGCAGTCAGAGTTTGTTTTTGATTTGAAATCATGGTATCAATAGCTCTCAAGTAGTTTTAGAACCTTCCGTCAAAAGTTTTTATTTAGAAGGTAGAAAAGTCTGATCTGAAGGCACAAAACCGCGCCGTTTTTCCTTCAAAATTTGAAGCAAAATTGTGTTTGTTTTAGATTTTCTGAAGTCAATTTTTGCAATAATAAGTGTGCATTATAATTAGTATTATGAGCAGAAACACGATTGAAGAAGTCTTTGGAAGATGTGAAAATTAATCCGGGGCGGATCTAAAATTTTCTCGCGGGGGGCAGTTTTTCAAACAATTTTCAAAAATTTTGTCGACCATTTTTTAAGTCGACCATATTGATTTTCCGATATCTCCCAAAGCTCTAAAAGGCTCTGTTTTGGCCAAATGTTCTGCGCCGCAGGCATAATTTTGAAAAAAAACAGGCCAAAAAGGTTTTATTATGATTTATTATTTTTTCTCACTCCACCCTCTACGCCATCTTGTCTGGCACCTGAGTTTGCGTGGAAAAACACGCCACTTTCGTTGCGGTGTTCGGAACAATCAAATTGAATAACAAAATTAAGAAATCAACCGGCGCTAGTTAGGTGATGCAAGCGGCAAAAAATGATAGAAAATTCCCGAAAATTTACTTCCCGAAAAATTTTTCGGGAAAATTACTTCCCGAAAAAAAAACAGTTGTGCAGAAAATTTCGGCTCTTGAGAAGATTTTTTGTTTTCTGCATAACTTGTGAAATCATTACTGTTTGTAAAAATATCACGATTTTTTCAAACATTTCGTCAAAAAACCGCTGCCTGCAATCTTGCTCAAAAAGTCTGTAACAACAGTTTTTCTAAGAGTCTTTTATCAAAAAAAAACATCAAGAATATATTAAAGTTCATAGCTAAATTGTGGAATCATTTTTTTCGCCTCGTAGCATCTTCAAGAGTCTCAAACAATCACCCATAAGAAATGCAATAAAAAAAAATTCGGTTTGCGCTTATCGTCTACGTGTGACTATGTTTTTACCAGCCTAATTGGCTTATAAAATGGTAAGAGAGCTGTTATGCGCATTTATAATTTTGTCAAACTAACTTTTTTATTCGCTCCATTCACAAAAACAAAGACATCAAGCTGCGATATTTTGTAAACATTGTTTTCGCCCAAAGCATAATTTGAAGTGTTTGAGGCGAATGCTTTTCATCTATATAACATAAAATCATAAATCGTCAGATTAGTAAATGTTTTGTTTTTATCATGTTTATCGTTGTAATTTGTGCTAATCGGGACTAATCGCTCTGAGGCTCTGTAATCTGGCTGTTTGAGTTTCGAAGTGTCTTTACATTGTAGGCCAGTTGGTCCAGTACCTGAACACGGCTCAAATTATTGAATTAATTTGTTCAAGTATTTGGAGAGACTCAGTTTTTTGTCTTTTTTTATTAATAGTGCTTCTGGCAATAGTTTTACTTGTGTTACTGTTTCAGCCAGCTGATTTGGTGCATTTTGCATAGTTGGTGTTGATGAAAAATTGAGTACAAAAACATCTGATAATTCCATCTCAGTCTTCAGAAAATCATTTTAAAGCAAGTTTGATAAAAGTTATCCATTTTTGGGCTCATTCAGAATTGTCGCTGGATCAGTTCGCACAGCTGCAGTAGCTGGAACTACTAGACGGTAAATTTTCTCGTTGGAACAAGTTACATTAATTTTTTTCTGAGTGTCAATTACAGCCAGAAAGAGTTCGCCGTATGTTTAATCGATCCTTTTTCTATTGATGTAACATGTTTGGAAATAAGAAAAATCAATTTGCGCTGTTTTTTTTCTCTTTTAATCTTTTGTATCTTTCAGTATGTATTCTCTGTTATAAACTGGACAGTTTAGAAGGCGATCAAATCAATTGGGGGGGATTAGAGGTCCTTTCTCTCCTGATCCCAACTTCGTTGGCTACTTTGGGGGGCTAAGCTGGCTATTTGTTTTTATCCGGGACTCTGCTAGATCTTTTTCCAATCAATTCATTTCTTTGATTTGAAGTTTTACGAGGAAATCAGAGAAAAAATAAGCTCCAAATGGATATAAATGAGATGAAAAGAAAAGGCTCCCGGAGCACCAGTAGAGGAAACATGTGATCGGTTTTTTTCAGCAGACCTGAGGCTGTGCAAAAAGTAGAAAAATTCATTAGCGAAATAAGCTGCAAAATGCAGCTGAACGCTGGTTATAAAATAACTAATTATTTATTGCTTTTCAAGACTTCATTACCGATTGCAGAGTTGGAACCGTATCAATATCTGTAAATAGCACATATATGTAAATAGCACATAAAATAGCACATAATAGGTTTGAGAATGCATCAAACAATGCGAAGTGAATTTGGGCTGAAATTTTTTGACTAAGTCAAAGAAATTTATAAGAGTGCAAGTATGGTATCACATTCAAGCCATCTCAGCCGTGGTTCGGAGTCCAAAAAAATTAAAAAAAATCTAGCAGTTTTGAAAGAAATGATCTGAAAAAACTGGTGTCTATTTCATTTTTGTTATTTTATAATTAATTCAATGCAGGGGCGGATCTAGGATTTTCTCGAGGGAGGGGGCGTTTTTTCAAAAAATTTCGAAAATTTTGTCGACCTTTTTAAAAAGTCCCTGTTTTGGCCTAATTTTCTGCGCCGCAGGCAAAATTTTGAAAAAAATTGGCCAAAAAAGGCGTTTTTAAGCACTTTTTGGAAAATTTTGACCAAAAAATTGCTTTTTTTTCCGGCGCGCGCTCCCCACTCAAATTTAGTATATATTGGCGCCAAAGGCGCCTTAAGAAAAAGTTAAGAGTCCGTTACCAAAAATGGGTATCTTAAAATAGTACAAAGGGGGACCCTTTGATCGGCAGGGTTTCAAATTCCTGAGGGGGGGGGGGGGGGGGGGCGTCTGCCCACCCCCCCCCCCCCCCCCCCTAAATCCGCCCCTAACTCGATGACTTTTCACTAAAAAGAAGAAGCAGTGGGAAATTTAAAGACGAATCCTTTTTTGAAAAATTTGAAGTTGAAAAAATTTATTTCATTTTTAAGTTTTATGGCCAGAACATTATGTGCTACTTGCTCAGCAACCAGCTATCCTTGTTCCATTTTGATACTTCTTCACAATTCTGTTAATTGTCAAACAAACCAATGCAACTGATCGTATAGTGACACAGACACTGTCTTTTGCAATTGGGTCCAAGGGCGGTAGAAATGCCACTGGATTATTTTAGACAAGTTCAAACAAGGCTCCGTCTATGTAAATTTGCTAATCAGTCTCGTGCAAACTCAAAACGCAAACACTAATTAACCTGGTCTTTATTTATAACCCAACGCTAGATCAAAATCTTCTTGCTTTTCGGGACTTCGCTTTCTGGTAATGATCCACAATCTCTTATCCAAATATACCAGTTTGAAACACGATTTCGGCTCTTTTCCAGATTTAGTTTTATTAAATACTTACCGTTGTCTGTTTGGAATTGGTGGTTGGCGCCATTGTTTAATTTTGTTTATGAAAAAATGCTATTTAATGGTTTAAGGTGCCAATGATCTTGAAATAAAAATATGTTACTTCATCAAAACATGCAGGAAAAATGCAGATGTTACGCAGCTTAAACAAAAACCGCAATTGTTTTGCTTACGTAATAAAAAAACAAATTCCCATTTTTATCCCTGTCAATTTAGATTCTTAAAGTACTTCACTCAAATCCCTTGTTTTTCTTAGTCTATATTTACGTTTAAGTATTCAAGTATTTCCGTTCTGCATTTTTTGTTCATTTTTATTGCCATTTTACTTGCTCATTTAGCTTTACCAATTTTCCTGGCGCCTCTTTTCAAACTGAATTTTAATCAATTTTTCTCAAATTGCCACCATCTTTTCTAATAAGTTGAGACACTTTAGTAGCAGTTATTTTTCAATAGGCAAGCGCATATTTTACCCTACCTTATATTATTGTTTAATTTTTGTCAGCTCGATTTTTGTCTTATTGTGATTCAAACTCGGAACAATGTTATAGCCAACTATATGCTGCTTTGCGATTGGAATTTGTGATTATTGTTTCAGCCATGAAGATTAATCTCGCCAGAAGTGTAGTGTCAGCAATGTTAGTATTGTCCCTTTCTGGATTGACATCAGGGGCACCCTATTCCTCCTCTGGCAGTGACCTTCTCCTGTCTTGGCCCAAGAACCAGACTGTGAAGTTGGGGTCAAAAGTCACACTCAAGTGTGCGGCTGATGCGAGGGACACGGAAGTTGACTGGTTTCACAACGGAAACAAAAGTTAGTACTCATATGCGCAACTTATCTGCTAAAAGTAATCGGGAACTGTTTTTGGAAAAGTCAGAGTTTTCATCACTCAAATTATCAAACTATCACATCAAAAAACATGATATCTTTAAGAGAATAGAACACATTAATTATAGTTCATTGAAAAAGAGTATATTTGATTTAAAAAAAGCTCAGATGTTTCGATCTGGAAAACCATCCCGGGTTGACCTCCATAGACCGAAAATGCTTGTCATACAATTCCCTAAACTAAGTTTATGAAAAAATATTAATCATACAAAATTCATACATATTGCTAAAATGATGGAACCTGATCTAAACTACATTTTATGATTGGATAATTTAGATATTTTACCAATGTAAAGTATTTAATATTAACCAATCATGATCCATCTAACTAACAACCCACTTATTTGTAAGTGCTGAAGTTACTTGTAATTTCAGCACCAGAGAGATTTGAATTTAACTTAGAAATTAGTTGGACTCTCCCGAGCACTTCAGCAACCGCAATAAACCAGTATACCCTAGATCTATTGAGCCTAGCAGAGACTAGTTAAACAACCTGAGACTAGATAGTATAAGAGTAAGATTAGGATCGGTATTAGACTAAGAAGTTGCACGAATCTATCCGGCCGAAAATAAGATAGCGTGACGAGCAGACGGTGTACCCTATCCGAAATTACTCTATGAGTTATACACCCCAGTCCTAACTCATCTGGTGCGACCATAAGTCTCGAACAAGACCTTAATAGCTTAGAATTAACCAAAATAGATTAGAAATTAGACAAAAACATTTAAAAAATGTTATACGACAATAATTTAATCGAAATGTCTCTACGACTCAATAGATCAGAGCCAATATTCCGAACCATAACAGAACTACCCGGAATTGGAAGAAGACCTCGAACCAAAGACGACATACGACAAAGTAGAAACTTGCCGTATAGTTATATGATAGTTCGGCAAAAGCCAGAACAAACTTTTATATTTCGAATACTACTTGCAATGAATTTAGATTTCCATTTGCAAACATAAAACCTTGAAGTTACTCTTCAAAATCATTTCAGGCGCTAAACAAAATTATTAATATACAATAACGATTGATAAAAAGATCTAAGATCGTTTTCCTAAAACTCTGCAGTAATATACAATATGTTTGAAAAATATTTATTGAAAAATAAAAATAAAAATTAGTAGCATGACAATAAATGGTTAGTAATCATAAATCATCCTGTTGTTCCAGCTCCATCACCTAAAACATAACAGCAATCATAAACCCACTAATATCATCAAAACACTAAATCTTTCCTTTACACACATTTAAAATTTTATTAAAACTTAAATTCACTTAATTTTAAAACCAGATCATCAAGGCTTATCCTTGGATCTTAAATCATTTTCTACTTAATTAAATTTCAAATTTGATCATCAAGGCTTATCCTTGGATCAAACAGAACAACTTTGTTCTCCCCCACCCACTTAATTAGTGTCTAACGACCTCAAACGTCGATTCACTACCCAACCCTTTCTAAAGACCCAAGACTAATAGAAATTTTTAAACAAAACTAATCATTCAAATTAGGATAAACAGTGAAGAACTTCGGTTATTCATCCTTCACTTGACCCCCCCTCTTACCAGACCCAGGATAAATCTTAGACTTAGTAAGTTTAAAATAGTATCTAACGAACTACTCGCGTTCTAATTATACCTGAACCTTGTGGATCGATTTACTATTCTCCAACCCTTGAACACAATCACTACCCCTAAGTAAGATTAAGTAAGTTAACACCTTAACTTATACTAGCCACGAGAAAGTAAAAAATCATTCTTCGGAATCGATATACTTTTCTCTCCAACCCTGAACAAACAGACCCAGGTTAAGCTAACCAAAAAATCGTAAGAACTAACAGTTTAGGAAAATAGAAATCATTTAACAACCTTTTGCATCCGTCATTCTAAACCTTATGTCATTTAAAAACCTAGGAAATAAACAAACAATCGTTTTACACAATTGTGAAATAGATAACAAAAAATACGACCTTGTAATCACACCTCATACACAAACAGTTGGATACATTCGAACAAAACGACAAACACTAAAGAGAAAAATAATAACTAAACAAAGACAAATAACACGAAAAAGATTTTCAAAAAATCGAAACGCATTTTCAGAATCAGAAACCAACAGTTTAGACGAACTTTACAAACTAAAAGAATCAATAGATAAAAATTGCCCAATTCACGATCAATTATATTTCTCTGACTCAGAAACAACTTCAAATTCATCACAAAGAGGAAAAAGAAGAATAAAAAAGCAGTATAAACACAAACCAGTACATTTATACAATTGGAATCAACCAATTCGACACATTAATAATTACATATTAACAGTCATCGAACGAAAAAATGAGCTCAACGCACACTCCAGGTGAAGAAAGTCCAGATGATGATGAAATCTTTCCTTTTATAGTAGACGCAGATACTGATAGAGGACAACACATATTTTGTCAAAATTTACTCGTAAATTTATTTGAACCCGGAATCAGTCCATGTAAAACAGAGTTCCCCGATGTAAAAATCAAAAGACAAATCATAGATCACTACTTAAAAGATATATGCAACATAACACAACAGTATGGAATCTACTCCATAGAATTCACCTCACCAAACCATAATAATAGAACATATACAATTCAAACAGACGACCTTGATTTAGAATTTTCAAAAGTTTTTTCAGAATATATAAAAAGCATCCAATATCATAACTCACAAAGAGCAAACTCCATATTCACCAATGAAGTTTTCGCAATAATATATAGTTATATTTCGATATTAGAAAACGAAATCCCAATAACAAATGTCTCACCGACAGAAACATCTAAACATTTGAAAGTACGACATGAAATCACACTACTCTCTAGTTATTTAAACATCATTAAAGAAAATTTCACGAAAGACGACGTTTCACAACATACAAAACACGATCTACAAAAAATTTTGGCATGGTTCATAATAGATTATTTCACACACAATATTGATTTAATTGAACAAGCAAGAAAAAATTTTAGACCCCAAAACTCGAACGATGATACCGCTATCACAGAACAATCAGATTATGTTTGGGACCCCGAATGGTCTCATCCCGCATTTATAAGCTTTCCACAATCAATCTCAAGTCAAGCAATAGGTACAATATCTTACATAAGAGATTATGTAAGAGTAATACCATTAACAATTGATGCAACACCATTAAACTATAATACATTTTTACCCGATACACAAAATAATAGTTTAAACTCTACAGTTATACACAATGAAAACCTCAATGGAACTAGGAATCTTACTCAACAAGATATCCAGACACCATCACACTTCATAAATGAAGAAATTGTACACACAACAACTACACAACAAAGTATTTCACCAATACGCCCAAATTTAACAACACCAAGAAATACAAATCCTTCACAAACACAGGTAACCTTACAATCAACCGTTAAACCTTCGGTTGCCCCTAAATATTCACATATGGATTACCAAACATACAGACCCATGACAATACCATCAAAAACACGCAAAACATTCACTAGAAACAACTTTGCAGACCATAATTATAATTATACACATCCATCAAAAACATATAATCAACCACAAAGAAATTTTAACCAATATACAAGATCTCGAAATTGGGATAACCCAATGACCCAACCTAATTCAATAAATTTCCAAACAAATCCTCCACAGGATCACAGTGAAAATTACCCATTTTTTCAACAAAATAAAAATAAAAAACAGACATCTTATCAAATGGATTATTTATCCTCAGATGATGATTTCTTACAACCAGATATATTTGCACCAAATACTCAAGAATATCGTAGACAAGGAATACAGAGAACACGTACAAATCATAGAAATTTTTCTCCACAACCAATAGATGCACAACATCAACAACCAATTCAACAACAAAATCTAATTAATACACAATCTTTTCAACCAATTCAACAACAAAATCCAATGACTGCACACTCGTATCAACCATCACAAATGCAAAATGAAATACCACTCCCATATTATCTCCAACAACATGAAATAACAAGAAACCAACTTTCAAATTTTTCTCAAATGCCAAATGCAGCAGAATCATTACAAATGACAATGAATCCATACCTTATGGGTGGATCATCAATAACATCAAACAAACCTTTAATGGTTTTCACAGGAACAGACCCTGAATACTCTGTAGAAGATTATTTAAATGCAGTAACAGCAAACCTGATTTTAAATATTGGACCTGAACCAATTAATACGCCACTACATCAAAACTGGATACATCGACGCACAGCGTTAATACAAACAACCTTAGATGGCGCAGCCCAAAAATGGTTTTCAGTACTACCTCTAGAAATAAAATCAAACTGGAAAAGATTTACACAAGAATTTTCAAAAATGTTTGACTCCGAAAGAAACAAACAACAACAAAGAGTTTCATGTAATGAAATTCGCAGATTACCAAACGAAACCATCAAGCAAATAGCAGTACGAATCGAAACACTAGTTCGAAAAGCATATTCATTAAATACACATGACTATAAAAACACAAAGATGACAGAAATCTTAATGATGACCTTAACACCACAATTAAGGAAAATAGCAATAAAAAAGAGAGCATCCCATCCTTCTTCAATTCGAGAACCCGATTTAGATTTTCGAAAACTAGTAGACAAATTAGAACAAGCAGAAATCACGATGAAACTAGAAGAAACGGAAAATCTGAAATTACAATACGTTAACAGAATTGAAACGACTCCCACTAATATTAATAATATACAGGAATCAGAGACAGACCTCGTTGAAAAAATCACTGAAATACTCAATATCTACGAAAAGAACCCAAACTTTAAAGGCAAACCATCTTTCAAAAAATGGTGTAATTATTGCCGACGATACGGACATAGTATTTCCGAATGTAGACAAAAACAGCAAGACAATC